GAATCTCGGGATTGTTGAAAAATTTTCATTGGATAAAATCACAGAAAAAAAAAAGTAATAATAATAATCATATCTCTCTACTTATATTATTATTTATGTTATTGTTAAAAGAATTTCTACGTTTCTTGAGAAATTTATTTATTATAATTGTATACTCAAGTTTATTTATGACGTTTTCGTGTATAATCGTCGAATAATATGAATACTTGAAGAATAATAATTTAAAAAAAATGAAAATCAAAATTTAATTACATAAATATTATAGATAATTTAATTTTTATATTATTATTATATTATTATTAAATATAATAATATTTAATTATTATATTATATGTAATAATATATAAAATTATATTATATAAAATTATTTTTATATATTATATAATTAATATATTTTATTATTATTATTATTATTATTAATAATAAAATATAATATTATATAGAACGAGAAACTCTCTTATTTTTAACGTTGCACTAACACAAAACAGAAATCTTCATAAAATGTATTTTGCATACTTCACATACCAAGATAACATTTAGTACGCTTTTGATGGTTCTTAATAAAGATACCAACTAAGATACCAACAATTAATAATAATTACGTTTTCTAGAAGCCTATTATGATATTCTAATGATATCCTTTTTCAATGAATTCAAATACTTAACTGTACTAATTCAATTCCTTAACAAAAGTCAACTTATTACGTTGATATATTTTATTATATCTATCGTTACGAAATAATTGCTTTTTACCTTCTAATTTTATATAATAGAAAAAGAAATAAGAAAAGATACTTTACTGTGAGATCGATAAAGTTTAAAAGTGAATTTACTGACATAGAGAAAGTAATCAGTTTTATGTTACACCATATATGTTAGTTCACGTTTTTAACAGCACTATTAATGCTCAAATAGACACGTATAATACACATATGACTACATATCTTCTTTTATAGACTTGTAGAATACATCGTAAAATGCATTGAGATAATAACAACTATCTGATAATCTTTCATCTCGTATATGACAATACAATTTTATTAGATATTTCCTAAAATTAAAGAACACGTGTTGATAGATCGTACGATATACACATCCCTTTTTATTAATAATATTATTAATAATATCCTAAAGGTAGATTTAATTTTAATATAATAAAGTAATTTTTTTTATATAATAATATATAATATATATTCTATTCATATAATAATATAAAACGGTAATATATATAATAATAAAGTAATTATAATAGCATTTACGACAACGTGTGTATAGAAATATTTAATATTTAAAATTTAATTAACTATAAGAATAAATAAATAAATAAATAAATAAATAAATACTAAGTTACTACAATGTGTGTATCCCATTTTATAAAATGATATATATATATACCCTAGAGATAGATATAATTTTATTATATTTTATATATTCTGCTTCTACTTTTTAACATATCGTATTCGTATGAAAGAATACTCAAGGACCATAGTGACGATGAATATAATAACGAAGAACATCTACATGAAAGAAAAAGGATCTCTTTTGTATGCAGATACAATCGACTCACGAAGTTTACTAAAGAATACTACAATGCGTATGCATCTACACCTGTCTCTTACACTTGTTTCCTTCTTTTTATTTTTTTTTTTTTTTTAGTTTGTTTATTTTCTATTTTTTTTTCTTCCTCCTCAACCTTTCTATGACACTTTCCCTAACCTTTTTTCTCTATTTCCATCATAGAGAGAGACCCAAGCTTGCTCTCGATTCAATTTAACTCGCGATAAGATCGCGTACGTTTCTCAGTAAGCTTTCGACTTGGATAAATACGAAGGTCCAAAGGGAGAAGACCTTGGCCCTTTGTACACGTCGATAGGTACATTCCTATTTATAAAGAGTAAGAGAGAGAGAGAGAGAGAGAGTCAAATTTTTCGTAAAAACATTCTAGACGGGGAAAAGAAGATTAGATTTTCCAAACGGTATATTTGACTATTAAGAAAATTCGAGAAGGGCGTAAGGACATCACCCTTCTAGCTATTCAAATTGATTTACGACCAATGTTATTTATTTGACGTAAATAGGATAGCCCTTTAGCTTTTTTAGAAGAGTAGGTATTGAATCAAAGTTATTTCAAGAAAGTATATTTTATTTTAATTATTAAATAAATTTATCTTTTTTAAATACTTTAAATTATTATATTAGTATTATTTATTGAACGTTTAATTAAAGATGCATGTTATTTTAAAATTTGAATTATAATATAATATTATTTAAATTAAAATTTTAATAATTAATTAAGTATTATTATAATTTAATATATAACAATTTATAACATATAAAATAATTTCAATAATTACATATATATATATATGCTATCGTGAATTTGAACGAATAAATATTAAATTTATCAATGAGATATTTGAAAGATAAAAAAGAAGATGAATCAAAAAAAAAAAAATCTATCGTAATCATATTGACATTTTACTCTCGAGATATCAAGCTTTCTCGAACACCAATCCCTAAGACGATTTCAAACAAAATTGGATCTCGCTTATCAACGAGGGGGGAAAAAAAAGAAGAAAAAGAAGAAGAAGAAGAAGAAAAAAAAAATAGAAAAAAAAGAAAGAAAAATAGCTAAAGAAAATGGGCTATCTGTAGCAGCTGACCTATCTAGAGCCCCGATCGGCGAATAAAAAAAAAAAAAAAAGAAAACCCTACAAGAAAAAAAGGACAACGAGTGGTAGTATTCGACTTGTGTCTCTAGATCCTCGTAAACGTATCGTATCAATTAAAATTGGTTCGGCTTTAGGTCAAAGCAATTTCGAAATCGGACACACAAGAGAAATTCAACGTCACTGAGAAGTTGCTTGTGGATAAAGAAGTCGAACTTACGATCGATAAGAAAAGAAGGTTCAAGAAGGTACAAGAGTTTAGTAGCATCTAAAAATAAGAAAGAAAAAAAAATACTACGAGTTAGATCGTAAAATAAAGATTTCAGTTAAAGAAGGGCTAAGGGATGAAGTAGATAGTCTTGTACTATTTTGAAGGTTTTTACATTGTATACCCTACACAGTTATATACACAAACAAAATAAATCAATGTTAACCCTTATCAGTTTCTAACATCAAACATCGTGACTTTCTATCTCATAGAAACAAATTCTCATCCCACTTTTTAAGGCTCCCTTTTTTTCAACACAAGGCACATTCGATATAAGCGTGATTCGCGCGTTAGATATTATGATGCCTATAAACGTGTATTTGCGTGTTTATATATCTATGTGTACTTATATATAAGTATATATGTATATATGTATGTGTGTGTATTTTTCTATGGGTAGAAGAGCATGGATGAGAGAGGCGGATCGGACGGGTTCAACCTGAATACTGATTCTCGACTGACGCATACATTATCTCCCATGGATAAAAGATATTTGCATTTTGATGGACCGCGCCGAGTGCATTTGACGTTTCGTATGCATTTTTCACGAGTGCGTGTACGCGAACGTATACGAGTGAGTGCAACAGAGAAAACGAGAAAGAGAGAGAAAGAGAGGGTTCGCGAGCCTCTGGATAACTCGTCCTTCCAGCCGCTCTTTATTTATAGCACAATATATATATCTATATAGATATATGGGAAGAGTATTTTGCGTTTATTCGTGCCGCCCTTACGACCCTTTTGAATATCACCGCTGAGTGTTTCACTGCTCTTACATGGAAGAGACGAACGGTTACTTTTCAGATCGTCCTTGTTCGAGAACTTTTCATTATTACCTTTATCTCTTTTTATACTTTATTCAGGTTTTCGTGTGTGTTTTTTTTTCTTTCTTCTATTTGCTCGGTTCGCTTAATATTCTACAATTAACGAATTTACTTATAATTTATTATTTAATGTATCAAGAAAATATCATTTTTAAATAGATAATACTACTATTACATCGTTCGTTTAAATATTTTACAAAATCCTGAAATTACTCTAACTACATTTCTATATATATATATATATATTGTATATTTAAATTCTCAATTTTATAATACAAAAAATAACAAAATCCTTTAAAAAATCTGATTCAAAAGACTACCAAAAAAAAAAAAAAGAAAGGCACACATTTCATTTAAAATTGCGAATGATAAAAAATTCGATACTCAAGTTGTTCCAGACATGAAAAATATTCTGTCAAAAAAAAAAAAAAATTAGAATATATTTTACTCTTATATGTATATATACTCATCTTTATCTATCTCTCCCTCACACAAACACACACACACATACATACATACATACATAAATTCTTTCTTTTTCTTTCTTCGGACAAAAAAAAAAAAAGAAAAAAGGCCCGCGACAAAATCAATTGCCGAAATTGCCCGGGGTCGAAAGCTGGATAAGCGCTTGGATAGTACGTACAAAGGCACGAAAAAAAAAAAGTGGCAAATTGAAAAATCACCGACGCGTAAGCGTACCGTAAGTGAGAGACGTCGTCCTTTATATATCACTATCTCCCTTTCCCTTTATTCCTTCGATTCAAACTTTCTCTCACTCTCTCTCTCTCTCTTTTCGTACCCTGTGTTTAAAGCTGCAAGGGTAAGCACATACGCGCATATTTTCAAGTGGATTCTACCATCTTTCATCGAAGTACGAGTGAAACCCATCCACCCCCGCCCCCTCCCCCAGCCCCTATAATACGTATAGCAATAACGTCTGCAATAACCGATAATTCAAATTCAAAATCCGTTTCTCTACGACCCTACGCGATAACGACAAAGGAAAACCTTGCGATTTTTCACCCCTCTCTGAGAAAAAAAAATGAGAGAAATATACAGAGGGGTGGTAAGAGAAAAAAAAAAGAATAAGGGGAAAGGGAAATAAGGTGATTATTATTCGCGTTACGTACAAACGAAATTCAAACTCACCATTTTTGTTGGTCTTGTTGTTGTTGTTGTTGTTGTTGTCTTTCTTTGATATTTTTTTTTTTTCACTTTCTTCACGACTCTTTTTCGTAGTCTCCCTTTTTTTTTTTTTTTTTTAAGTTAGTAGGGAATTACCCGAACTTTTAGGCACCACGAAACAACTATATATCAAGTATTTGAATAGTATAATAATAACAATTATAATAATCACGCACACTATATATATGCTTTTAGCTTATTTTACACAATTTCTTCTTTCACGAATCGTGTCATCACAATTGTCGTAAGTCGTAAGTCGTAAGTCTAAGTCTAAGTCGTAGTAATAGTAATAGTCGTAATAGTCGCAGTTGTCGTAGTCGTAATCGTCCTCGTCTTTGTCGTTTTCGTCACACTGCACTTTTACGTCGATGCAACTGCACCACCTTGACAGTCATCCGTCGACACTCGTTTAAGACTCTCATGACTGAAAATAGAAAATAAAAAATGAATTAGAATTAACAATAAATAATTGAATACTTAAATCATATGAAATTTTCATGTTCATTCATGAACATGAATGAATGATGAACAATCTTCGTGATAGTAAATGCATAAGAGTTTAAATGTCAAGATAGACAGATAACAAGAATAAAAAAGAAAATGTTTCATCCTTTTTCTTTCCTCCCAGAAAGAAAAAGAGGGAAAGAGAATAAGAAAATATTATTCAAAGTGAATACATAAATATCACTGAAAAGATAAAGGAATAAAATACAGGAAGAAAGGACTTTGAGAATATCTCGCAAGAAATTTACGAGAACCATAAGAGAGAAAGAGGGTGTTCGTGTCGCGTGAAAAAGAGGGACGGACAGCCTTCTTCTCGCCTTCGGGCAAAATTCTGTTAACAGTTACGGGTTCTAGGTAAAAGGGAAAGAGAAGAAGAAGAAGAAGAAGAAGAAGAAGCTTAGCAAGAGACGTTAAGCTTTTTCTAGCGAGATAGAAAGTATTATCCGTCTTTTACAAACGAATAATCGTGCGGTAAAGTTTCTAATATGAAACAGTACAAAAAAAAAAGTAGAAAAACTCAACCGATGGACCGACAGAGAGAAACGAGCGAATAAACGTACGTGTATAGAAGAGTTGAGTGAGAAAGGTAGGGGTAGGGGGATGAGATGGGCTCACTATGATGATGCCTGGTACAGTAGTTGGGAGAGGGTAAAACTCGGAGTAAAACTTGCGAAACCCAAGGGAACGCTTGTGAAGCTTTACAACTTCGACAACCTTAAATCGACAGAACTACTAACGCGAAGCCTTCTCTCGTACACGTTGGATGCTTTCTCTGTAAGGATGGGTAGGAAAAGGAAAACTAGGTGGATGATGGAGCTAAATAGAAGAGAAAAGTAGGTACATGTACTCGATACTAAAAGAAGAACGATTCGGGTGAACCTTTTCGTACCTTCTACTACGATGAGAAACTCCGTTTACTGTTACTAATACTATTACAAGTAGTATTACTATTACTAGTATTACTTGTTGGGGAAAGTTTTTCACCAAAGCTAACTTTTTGATCATAACGTGTATGTATTACGAAGAAATCGTCTGTGGTTTTTAACCCCCTATCCCCACCACGTTATCGTTCTACCCTAAAAATGGTAAAGTAAATATCCTTGACCTATAGATACCTGCTAGTATGGGATATACGTTTGCTGTGCGTGTAAAAGGGAATGAAAAAAAAAAAGAAATGAAGGGGAAGAAAAAAATCGACGAAGATAGTGAAGTGGAAAAAAAGGGTAAGAGGAACGCGTAATTAAATTTTACAAGAAAAAGATAGTTAAGGAAGATAACGCGATTAAACCCTCCTCTCCCTTTCTTTTACTTTACTTTTTTCTCTCTCTCTCTCTCTCTCTCTTTCTTCGGGGAATGATACTGGAACATTTATTTACGTCTACGTTAACATGGAAAACACCGGTCCACGGTTTAATGGCTTCTAATTATATGTAATAGTGATGCATGGTGAGTTGAAAAAGAAAAGAACTGAAAATACTCGACGGAGAACGAGCATGGATTTACAAGGGCTTCTACGTTGTTCAACAACGCACCACCACCACCATCACCTACCATCGTTCATTTACTTTGCTTTTACATACCATCATCTCGTCGTGTCTTTTTAAATTCGAGATTTTTATCTCTTTATAATTCCCATCGTCGTTCTAAATACACATATATATATATACACACATATAGAAAGACATCGTCATATTTGTCATTTACGTTTAATTAACCTAACATATAATATCTCTCGTTAAAACTACAAATTGCATGGGTTCATTCACAAATGTGATCTAAAACATTTAACTCTCATCCAATGGTAATTTAGCCCACCCCCTCTTTTAACGATTTCATGAATTTCCAAAGACAATAGGGACCAACCAATCGAACCACGCCTATAGACCAATCCCTAACGATTTACATGTTCGAACAAGTTGGAAGAAGGAGAAGGAGGAGGAGAAACGACGACCTTGATAACTTGGATTCCCTTCGAAAATTCTGCACCGTTGTCCGGGCAGTCCGAGAAACTAATTTCCAGTAACTTCCGAATCACCATCATCCCTTTTCGCTGTCCTATCCTCCCCTGTATATCCTTCTCTCTCTTTCTCTCGAGTGAGACAGACAGACRGACGTCTCCAGAATTCCAGGAAAGGGTTGAAAAGAGAGAAAGGGTCCAAAAGAGTCGACGTTCCGCGTTAATTTAATGAAAAATCGACATTTCTCTTGCGTGCTAACGTAGCACGAAAGCAACCCTTCCAATCCCCCCCCCCCATGCACCCCTCTCCCTTTTTCTTTTCTATCCGAGACGTCGAAGGATCACACTGCCGCCGAAGGAGTCAAAAGTACGCGAGGAATTAATGGCGAACATTCCAAACCCTTCCCGATTCGTCTCGACAGCTAACCCTTTTTTTTATTTTATTTTTTTTTTTTACACAGTATACACTCTGAACAAAAAACTACCAAGAGAAGGTTGAATAACGTAAAAAAAAATATCATGTGGGCAGATCACACTTGTTAGAAGTAAAACCTTCGAAAAACTAAATTTCGAGAGAAAGAGACAACTGCAGAATATCAGGAGTAGGATAATTGTTAGGTTTATTTGTTATAATATTATTATTATATTATTGTTATCACATTCAAAAATTGTTATACGTTTTATTGAAAACACATATAAATAGATAACATATTACACAGCAAGCAAGTTCTCAATTCAAAGAAATGAGACGAGTTGCTTCTGGTAACTAAAAAATGCATGGTAACTAAATACCTCTGTTAGAGTAGTAAACACTTCTATAGTAAGGTTTTTTCCGAAAAGTAGTGAGGTTATTTTTTAATAAAGTAGTGAGGTTTTTTCCGAAAAGTCCGTAGGGTCTTTCCGATAAGTTCGAAGTATAGCATAAAGAGGAGACCGAGAATAGGAAAAACTGTATAGCTATATTCCGTCTCATTCCTTCGCAGTCTAAATCCTATGTTTGTCTCTTTTTCTCTCATTATTTAGTATAGCAACCGTTTCGTAGCTTCGTTTCATAGCTCCGTTTCCTAACCGACCACGTTTATTTACTTTTAAGATCACTCCCATTCTAAAGAAGTTTTCACTTCAATAACACACACAGTTAAATGATATGCAGCAATCGTAAAAAGTGCGACTCGTGACACGCAGCACGTGAAAATGAAACAAAAAAAATGCAGTCTCGATAGTAGTCTGTCCCCAAGGATGGAATGAGTGCTATAGGGGAGGGGGAAGAGTTCTGGGATTGAGTAGACTCGGAAAATACCTAGACACACACCCCTCGAACCACTTTCCTCACCCCCAACAATTCCGGACGCGATCCCTTGTTTCGAATCGAAAAGTCGCGTCAATGGGGGGAATGGTAGGGGGTCGTGACGTTCATCGTATGCGCCTCAACTACCCCTATCTTCTTCCCTACACCCTTTCCTTCCTTCCTTCCTTCCTTCCTTCCCTTTTTTTTTTTACTTCGGTACCAGTAGCAACAGATTCACCAGGCAGCAACAGCAACAGCAGCAATTCTCTTTCTCGAGTTTTGTCAGTGCACAGAGGTTTCCGTGTTTCCAACAACGTAACGTCATCTCGTCCCTTCGAAAGTAACAAAAAAAAAAAAGAAAAAAAAAAACTCGGCTTGCATTTCAGTAAAGAGCCAACCCATCCGCGTGTGCATGGACAATGGGACGAGACGCCCTGGTAGACGGGCCGCCGACAACGCCCTTTTCTTTCGACACGCGTGTCTGCGTTTTATACGCTAACATATGTGTGAGTGCATATATCTTTCTTGCTTTATCTTTCTATATGTATATATGTATATATCTGTATCTTTCCCCCTCTCTCTCTTTCACACACATTCAAAAAAGGGGGATGAACACGTTCCTGCTTCTTTCTCCACGCACCAACGAAGGGAAAAAAAGGGTGACACACTCGTCGATCCTCTTCTCAACTTCCGTCGCGTCGCGTGGGTTGACTCACTCATACATTCATACACACATATATACAAGAATAATGATGGATGCATAGTCGTATACAGTAACGTGGTGGAAAACGATTTGACGGTAGGCAGAAGCTTTGACATTGACTTCGAACATCCTGGCTCCTTCTTTTCTCTTTCTAACAACTTGTCATCGTCATCGTCATCGCCATCGTCATCGTCATCATCGTCAAGGTCGGTAAATCCATGTTTAAATCGACCGTTTGGTATACGACGAGACACTGCGGATTTAATGAGTTCCCTTCGACTCCCTTTTCCCTCATTCCTTCAAAAATGAAGGGGAGAGTGCATCCTTGGATAAAAATTGCATAGACTTCTGTCGTCCTGCCGATACCGCGACCATAATCAAAATGATATCTACCTCGAAAGCGAGGAAGACGAGCATGGAATTGGGTGGTGCGGTCTGAGGGATACGAGACATAGATAGACGTAGGGTGGGGTGGCAGAGAGGGATGGAAACCGAGACGGTATCGCGATTCGATGCTTCGAGGCTTTCAACTATACCGGGGGTTGATTTCAGTTGGGGTGGATTTTCTCTATAGGTCTCGCAACGCTTTTTTTTCACTGTCCGCTCCCCTCTACTCCTCTCATCCCTTCACCTCACCGTCATTCCTTTTTTGAAGTGTAGATTTTTCAGGGAGATATCTTTTTTAATTATCCCCCTTCTACGATGTATGTGTATGCAACGTCGGCATTGCATCTATCTATACGACAAATGATGAGGTTTCCTGAGTATATTGCAAGTTAATTTTATTTAAAATGGTTTTTATTGCAAATTACTGTGAGCTATTTTTATAGTCTTGTTTATTCTATAAAAGAAAATATAGAATGCAACGTTTATTAAAACTTTCAACGATTAATTAGTGTGAGTGATAAGGAAATGGAAATAGTATTTTTATTTTTCATATTATTAGATATTTTGTTAATTTGTTAATTGGGA